CATTTGGTATTGGTGATTCCTCAAATGAGAAAGATTTTTACAAAGAAATTGGATATCATTGTATTACGCCTACACTTCCTGGCTGGGGTAATAGTTCTCCATGGCCAGAAAATCGACCAATTTTAAATTATCCTAATGATATCCATCAATTATTATCATCGTTGAAGAAAAATAATCATAAAAATCATAGAATTACCGTTGCCGGTGGCAGTTATGGATCTGTTTTTGCTCAAATATGTTTTGGTACATCAACCGATATAATGCCTGAAGTTATCAATGTTGAATCATTAATTGTTTTATCTGGTTTTTCTCCATTCAAATATCATAAAAAATATACTACTGGAATGAGTTGGTTAAATTATTTTACGGTCGGTATGCCAGCTATTTATTTCCCTTCTATTACTAAACTAATGGGATCATATATTCAAAAGAAAATCCGTAATATTGAAGATGCCAAGGGATTTATGCGAAACAAATTGTTTGATCAAATGGATGACGAGGAAAAGGCTAACCTACGTAAATTGGAAGAAGAGAAAAATAAGCCATCAGGATGGGTTATTGAAATGATGTCAAGAAATATGTATTTAAGTATTTCTAAAACAATGGCTGGTTTCAATGATATTCCACGTGTTTTACATTCGGACTGGGGTTTTGATCCAAAGAAACTTCCATCATCACCAAAACGAAAAGTATTGATTATAGCTACACAAGGAGATAAAATGGCTCATATGGAAATGTCAATGTATTTAGTTGAAAGCTATCCTAATGCAGAAATTCAAATACTTAATGGCGGTCATTTAGGTTCATTTTTTGAATTCGATACAATTATGAAAAATTGGTTGACAAATCTTGACAAAGAATATAACGAAAGAACACAAATGGATGGGCAAGCTTCATGTTCTTAATTGAAATACAACCATCGATTGTCTGTTTGCTGAAGTCTTTTGCTGTAAACTATTTTCTTAATTATTTTTCTGAGATCACATTTCCAAAATTATTTTTGTTTTTAGATTTCTTGTCTATTTTGTCATGTTTGTTTAGTTAGTTCTACAATGTCTTTTAATACCTCATTTTAGTAAGTTTTGTTTTTTTCCAAAGTCCATTTTTAACATATTGCTAATTGCATTTATTACTTTGATTATACACAAGTTTTTATGCGATAATAATCTAAGAATTTTGTCTGTAAATGATACCAAGAGATTAATGTTATCATTTTACCATCAGAAACTGAATAGTACGCAATAAAGAACGGTGGCCAATTTCTGATGAAATCGAGCCCCTCTTAAATCTTAATATTTTCCCATCAGAATATGTAAATTTCATGTTTCTAAAAGAAGCAGACTATAAAAATACTTATTAACTGAATGTTCATATAATTTAACTGAAAAAATTCAATCGGCTTTCCTTCTACTTCAGGGTGTGGGTGTGGGTAATCAGAGGATTAACACTCGACATCCACGCCAATCAATACCATTCAATACCAATGCAGTTCAATATCAATACCATGCAGTGACAATATCATTCAATATTAATGCCCCAATATCGTATTGGTGTTGTGACATGCCTATCTTGATGTGTAGCTATTTACTCTGTGATACTTTTCAAAGGTGCTCTATACAATTGCCGAATTTTTTTTCAAATGCCAACCACCATTTTTTGAATAACTTTCGATGGATTCTAGCTATCGAAGTCGAGTTTTCGTCGTTAGAGAAAGAAATGTGGGGGAGGGGAGCATCTATCTATGTAATATTCACTAAGTTCCAAGAAGTTTTTTAAGGATATTCACAAGCGAATATTTTGTCTGTTGCACATTTCTACAAGTTTTCGTAGCATCCTATGTTCAAATTGCACCAAAATGTAGTCCAGAGTAAGCTGTATTGTCAATAAAATTTCCAAATTTCAGAAAACTTCTCTTGACACATAAGTTCAGGGTGAGGGTGAGGCAATCGAACAATTATATAGGGAAAACGGCACTCTTCAGACGACATTTTGGCGTAATTTGAACATAGGTTACTATGAAAACCTGTAAAAAATGTACAACAGAAAAGATGTTCACTGGCAAATATCTTTGAAAAACTTCTGGAACCTAATGAATATTATATAGGTGGACGCCCTGCAGCGCTCGTTCTAATGGCGAAAACCCGGCTTCGATAGCTAGGAACCATCGAAAGTTATTCAAAAAATGGTGGTTGACATTTTTTTAAAAAATCCGACAATAGTTTATAAATCGTCATAACTGTTTAAATAGGTTTCGGCTGTTGGTTTATATTGAATGTTTTGATGAACAGCTACGTAATGTAATTCAGTAGTGAAAGATGTTCAGTATTATTTAAAGTATATTGATTAAAACCTTCCGGAGTCAAACATTTTCAACTACAGGTTCGACGCCGACTCTGAAATCTTTTTTTAAAATGATTCCAACATCGAGGCCGAAAGACTCCAAAACTTTTCCTATTACAAATTAGTAACAGCTTACGTGTGCAGCGATAATATATGATTTGTTTTAAATTGATGTAGTATCAACAGTCAAACCTGATTTGAGAGTATTTTGGGCTGATAAATAGATATGTTAGATAGTCGACAGAACAATGAAAAATGATTAAATTTTTCAACTTTTTCTTGCATCAAAAATACTTGGAGTGACTTAGAAGTTCTTGTCACGCGAAGAAATTCGAAATTGAATTAAAAAGAAAAAAGAAGACGATTAGTTTAAATTACTACCCGTGCAGAACATAAAATATAGGGGAAGCTTGAAATAATTTCACCAAGTTTTCGTGAACAGTAAACAACATCAATATGTTTCGTTAAATCTGTGCAAAGCGTCACTTTTTATTACATCTATTGACGACACAAATACTATGAAAACACATTTAAAATCATGTAGTAAACTCAATAATAAGGAAGGAATAAAGAAACGATTTTCGGAGTCTCGTGCAGGTCTCTAATATGGATAGGTATTAAAACAAGATTGAATACTTTCTTATGAATATATTGCTAAGATTAGATATTTCTATATGTAGACCTTGATTATTTCTTTTTAAATTTTTTCGTTATCTTGTTTAGCGAATCGTACGTATTTTGATCGATTTAAGAAAAATGCATAAAGTTTAATACTCATCAAAATCATGTCGAATCATTATATTCTTTTTTACGATGGATCAAATAAAAGGTTTATCAAAGCTTATTCTATCTTGAAAATCTATTATTACATTGAGAATCTCTTCAGAATTGAATGGCAAATGTCAATATCAATAGATAATTGAATGTTATAAAGTCAGATTCATTAATAATAATATCACGATCAGTCTAATATATTGATAATACTGTGACATAACATTCGATCGATCAACGTATACTTCTTAAAACAAAAACAAAAACAAATATTTATTCTAATTCACGAATGAAAAAATCTAGCAATTGGTTATATTTACGTTTTAAAATACCTAACATGATATTTTCTTTTAAATTCATCGCTTAAAACCGTTTGTTCAATGAAACTTATTTTAACTA